TTTACACTTTTACACGTTGATAATATTAATCACCACAATTGTGAATACCAATAAAAATTGTTTTATAACTTGAGATATATATTAATTACCACAATCATGAATACCAATAAGAATTGTTTTCTGAATTGAGATATACTATTTTAAACTTTATTTTTGAACTATTCAGCATCATTCATTTGAATTATTCTCAGATTAACATATTTTTAACAACATTAAAAAAAAAAATTATTATATTTGCGCTATTTTCTTAGCTGCAAAAACATGAATATAAAGCAAAAGCTTACGATATATTTTTAGATCCTAAATCCATCTCTAACCTAAAACTTTAGAAGGGGCGTATTTGAGAAGGAAATGATCTATAGGTGATGCCATACAGATGTTTCCAAATTACAAATGGGATAAATATTAAAATTCTAAAACTATTTACAAAGACCCGATTAAAATAATAGTGATTGTGATCTTTTTGTATTAAAAGTAAATGATATACGTGAACATAACTTATCAGCGATGGAGCCAAACCAAGCTCCGTGTTCGTAGTGGAGTATCCACCACCTGTGTATAGTGGAAGCTCCGCGATCGTGGTGGAGTATCCACCACCTGTGTATAGTGGGAGCAAAAAAAAAGCGTACGGAGGGAGGGCATGCACGGGTCCTACAAAGCCAAGGAGCAAAGCATGGTAGATAGGGGTCGGAAGGTAAGGAGACAAGCAACTAGGTTTGATTTTCAAATGAGAGGAAGGACAGGGTTTGTATCACATCATCACCTCGTTTGAAATGTAGGAAAACCAAGCGAAGAGAGAGAAAGGTCACCCACCTCCCACATGCACCAACCCCAACAACTAACTCTATAGACTGAGAAAAGGGGCTGGAAACCCAAAGTTGTCTTTTCATCATTGTTTATTATGATGGGTTTGGTGTTTCTCAGAGAACATGCCCAAACGCAAACATGGAAAAGGGATGATGGTTGAGTGTTGCAAACTCAAATAAAATAAAGGAAATATTCAGTCCCCATCACCCATTTTTTTAAAGTCAAAAGATTTCTTACCCCTCCGTGGGGTTGGCCACCACAGTTAGCTTGGGGACTATCAATAAATAGGGTTACAATAAAATCGAGAAAAAATTATTTTTATTTTAAAAAATTGGATAAAAAATACAGATCGGTAAAAATACTTTATGTAAAGATATCGCCAATACATCGGACTAAGCTCAAAAAATCGAATAAGTTAAAATATTAGAATTTTTGAAATTTTTAAAAATAAAATTTATGTCAAAGCCATCAACAACTAATCTATCTATAAAAACTCTACTAGACTAATATAATTAAGTCAATTAATTTAGATAACTCATTTAGACACTCTCAAAATGGATCTTTTGACCTAACCATTGTATTTTCTTTCCTGTTTTTTAATAAAATTAAAAAATATAGAATATATAAGTCTATACACATTAGGGGTTCATGCTCTTTATAAAAAATAAAACAATACGTTCATGATAAATACACCGTATGAATTTCTTCATCAAATATTTTAACGAACATCACACCTACTTAGTACATGCCAAAAATAAATAAATACAATGTACAAATTTTCACGTTAAATGCTTTAACAAAGATCATACCTACTTAAATACATACCAAAAAAAGTAGACCATATAAATTTTCACATTAAATACTTCAAAAAATATCAAACCTACTTAAATACATATTAAAAGAAAAAAACCATATAAATTTTTTTATTAAATACTTTGCAAATATCACACCTACTTAAGTACACAAAAAAAAAAACATGATTTTTTTTATCACTAAATACTTTAACTATGGTATAGCTGATTTAACTATAGTTAATAATTAGGGTATAGCTAATGGCAACTTTATGGCTTACATACTCCATTTGGGTCCTCTGTTAGTCTCTCTTTGAGATACAGGGTTGGATAAAGGGGATCGCAGGGGTTGTTAAAATTAAACAGAGTATCTGCTCAAGAACATTTGCTCAACAACAAGGCATCGATCACCAGCTCCAGACCATGAATCAGTGACTTCAAGGAATGAAGCAAAGCCAACAACAAATGGCTACTGAAATAATCACTAAAATTTGATTTTTGCATCTATATGATTTTTTTCACACAATAATTTCATTTACACAATGATTTGTAAGTAAATATTTTTTTTTTTTGCATAATAACTACTGAAATCTGCATTAACGTGTTTTAATTAAAAAGCAAAAGAAAAAAAAAATCATACCTTTAATCTGTAAATGCGGCTGTGAAGAAGAATAAGAACATAGCATAAACCTAAATCCTAACAATACATAAATCCATTGTGAATAAAAATTTCTACTTTCGGATTTTTTTTGGAAATAATATGTTTTTTAGAAATTACACATGTTACGAAAAAAATTGTTTCTCTTTCTAAAAAGATTACAAGTAAAAAAAAAAAAAAACATTTTTTTGGTCCCCTTTTTTTCGTTCTTCATAAAAACACGTTTTTAACGGTAGTATGAAAAAGACGCGTTTTTTTGACGAACTTTTCGAAAAAATAGCATTTAAAACATTTTAAAAAAAGCTTCGATTTTTTCAAAAAATCGGTGATTAGTCGCTGATTTGCTAACTATGGTGGCAACGGGTCGGGTGTAGTCACCGAATAGTATTCAGGCTCAAATTTTGGATCCATACCCAGATCCGTCAGGTCCTAGGTCTGGTCAGATCCAATATGACCCTATGACTATGAATTTTTCTTTTTATCTTTTTTTTTTTTACCATCGTATACCTCATGATTATCTTTTTTTTTTGTGCTAATAATACGGTAAAACTTGTGCCAATATTATAACAATACGAACACCTAGCGCGCGCCTAAAGAGACATGATTGACATCATATGCCTTATGGCTACGGGTCTGGCTGAACCCGGACTCAGACCCGAATAAATATTCGGGTCTAAAATTAGGACCCATATTCGGACCCGAGGTCCCCGTCGAGTCCTAGGTATGATTGAGTGTCCATTGCCACCCCTACCCATCGGGAGTATACTAACTATTGAGGGCAAAATTTGGGGATGTTATTTCTACAACCCGATCTCAAAATAATATAAAATAAACTCTTTATACATTAGAAAAAACAAATGTTTAAGATTGAATAGAAACCGTCCAGGTTTTGAAGGGCTAGATTTGAGTGCCACAAAATTCAAAATCCAAAATCCAAAATTTTCTTTTAAAGATTTATTTATCCCTCGGGAGTATACTATCAATTTACTCCTTTGAGGCAAAAGACATGCTAGGATAATTGTTTACACCTCAAATGTTGGAGACGTAATCTCTACAACCCATAAAATAATCTCGACAAAATTTTCTTTCGAAATAAACTTTATGCGTACTAGAAAAAACTAATGCCTAAATATTGAATAGAACCATCCAATTTTTTAAAGGCAGGATCTAAGTGTTAGAAAGCTTAAAATTCAATTTTTTTTCCTTTAAACAACTCATCTAGTAATTGTTATAAGGGTCCAAACAATTAATTTTACACTAAAGAAATCCTCCTAAATAAGTGTTTTAAGTGAGGGACAATATATGCACTTAATTTTAGTTTTTTTAAAAAAATTGTGTTTTGAGGGAGGGAGTGGATGCACAAAATGCTCATGCGGGGCATAGTATATGCTCTTATTTTTAAACTTTGATTTTTCATAAACTTGATTTGTTTGACCAAATAAAGTCTAAAAAGCAACTTAAACTAATCACCTAGACCAAATATCACAAGACATTTAACATTCCCTAACAACTCTAAAATTCCCAAAATGCCCTTGACAGTTTTGTCCAATCGTTTGCAGATGTTTTGACCTCTCATCTCTCATACCAAAACCGGCGAAATGCCCCATAAAAGCGATTTCCCAAAAATGAGGGGTATTATAGTAACTTTCCCTTTATTGATGTGAATAAGTAATTGGAGACATTCTTAAAAAGGCAGTAATGAAAACCCCAAAATATGTGTTTCTATTTAACAAAAGGCAACAAAAGGTACACACACTGCCCATACAAAAGAGGCAATTCCACAAGTGCAGGAGGAAAGATTCGAAATTTATGGAGGATATTATGGACATTTTCTAGAGAGAAACATAAAAATTAGGGTTTGTATGTTTGGAAGCTAGGGTCAATAAATATTCTCTCTCTAACTCCAATTCTTAATGAGAAAAGTAGGGGGTGGTAGGCTGGGGTTTTAATAGGGAATAGGGTCTAGATTTGGTTTCCGGTCACGTGGCGATGCATCTTTGTCCATGCACACTCTCTCATTAGCTATTTAATTCAATAAAAAAAAAAAAATTGCTTTAGATGGTGTATAGACTAACCTACCCAAAAAAGATGATATGAGTTTTTGAGTTTAGAGAGAGAGAGTCGATTAGCCGGAAATATTGAATCGAAAAGGTTAATCGGACGTTAGGTCGGAAGCAAAGCAGTTCAATCGACCTAATTAGTAAGAACTGGCCTAATTGAACAAGTTTTGGACAGTAAAATAAATGTTAAAAAAAAAAACTCTAACAAAATAAATAAAACATATCAAAATAAAGTTCAAAATTAACGAATTTTTTTTTTTTTTTTTTAAGAATTGGTTTATGTTTAGGGGTATTTTTGAAATTTTTTAAAATAGAAAAATATAATAATTGGTATTAATGGGCAAATTTTTTTTAAAATTTTTTAATAGTTAAAAATATAATATAAATATTTTTTTTTTATTTTATAAAACTCGATGTTTTTTTTTTTTAAATACTTGACCAGTTCACCAAAAACCCTGAGCCTCATTTTTCCTACACTAGCTGGGCTGATAAAAAACAAATGAGAAAAAATAAGAAAAAAAACGGCTGCAGCCAAATCAGGCCGGCACTGACTTTAGCCGGGCCCTTAGATTGTGGGCCCGTCCCTACATTTTTAAGGCTGAGAGGCCCGGTCAGCTCATAGATAGGCTTTGTGGGGAGAGAGAGAGGCGATTGTAGTGAGCGGACATTGCGAGGAAAACAGCCAAGAAATTGTCCCTTTTAGCGGTTTCCAACTCATCCCCTAAAAAAAGCTCGGATTTTGTTGGGTTGTCCTAAGTGAGAGAGTGTTTGGGATATTTTTAGAGAGAGAAAGAGGGCATTTAGAAAAAAAAAAAAGGAGGATTTAAAGAGAGAAAGAGAGAGAGGGCTGGGAGTATTTAGTATTGAGTCTTATGATCTTCGGTTTCACTTTCTCTATCCTCTTTTGCGCTGCTCCCCCATCAATTATTTTCCTTTCTCAACCCCAAAAAACCAGAATGGTATTCAAATCCACCTCTCTTTCTCTCTCTAAGCTCTTCTCTCTAAGCTTAAGATGAGGGATCTTCCATTCTCGCCCCCAAAACCCAACAATTACTGTTATCCAATGTCTCTAACAGTGGGGATAGTGGTTTTGTAGGGTGGTTTTCTCAATGGATTTTGTGGGTGTAGATGGTTTGGGGTTCTTGGGTACCTCTGAAACTGGTTTTTCTTGCTCTGGGTTTGAGTTTGAGAGCAAGCAAAAGGATAATGGTTTTGGATCAGGGTGCCTTAAGCAAGGGAGGTCTGGTTCTGATGAGGAATGGAGGAGCTTTAAAATGGCGAGGAGGGAAGATTACAGTGCTTCCAAGGCAATGGTGGCTCAACAACAAAGACCCACTTTGCTTAGATCCAATTCTTTGTACCCTGATGCCCAGTTTGCCTATTCTCTCTCTAGAACAGAGAGTGGCCAGTTGTGTTACTCTTCTCTCTCTAGAACTGAGAATGGCCAGTTGGGTTACTCCTCTCTCTCTAAGACTGATAATGGTGGTGCATTTTTCTCCAGTGATGGAATCTCTACCACAACCCCAGCTTTGCCATTTTACCAGTCTACTCCTTACACCAAAAATACAGGTTTGTGCATGTTTCTAGAGAGAGAAAATGAGTGACTAGTGTTTATTTCAAATTTGAGGACTTAGTCTTCGTTTTCCTCTTCAAAATGTGTTATTTTATTCTTGTTTTTGGAAGAAATGTAGGATCTTGGCATTCGGTTTTTGGGTTTAGGCATTTTGAGGGGGGAAAAGATTGGGACTTTTGATGAGAGAGAAAATTTTGGTTTGATTCCAGTAAGAGATCGAGTACTGTCTGAGTATTGGGAGAGGTCTTTTCATGGCCAGATCTTGGTTAAGTCTTTTCAAATAAAAGTGGCTTGATGCTAACTTGCTCCTGTTACCGACTGGCTAGTGGGAGACATTACATCGTTCTAGAGAGAGAGAGAGAGAGTGATATGAAAGAGAATATTGGTCGTATTTTCCATTAATATCTTGGTTTTGGCATTCATATCATAAGCTTATAACTCTAAGTTTATGTTAGTATTTGTGCTTTATTTTCTTTCCTGGTTTCATCTTTGAGTTCTTGTTTATCTCAGATTCTCTCTCTCTAGTTTGAGCTTTAATTTGTCTACTCTCTCTTTTCATCCATTTGCAGGTTTAATTTCAGGCAGCTCTAACGGGAACATGCACGGGGTAATGACAGGAGTGCGAGGGCCTTTCACTCCATCGCAGTGGATTGAGCTTGAGCACCAAGCCCTCATATTCAAACACTTGACAACAGGAGCTCCAATCCCAGCTAATTTACTGATTTCTCTAAGAAAAACCCTTAATCCCTCTGGTTTCCCAAGTTATTCAGCTGGATCTCTGAGACCCAATTCGTGTACGCTCCTTTCTCTCTGTAGAGAGACCTTTTCATGGCCGGATCTATGTTAATTTTGAAAGAATATGTGTAGTTGTTTTCTGGAGAGAGAAGTTGGAAGGCTTTTCTCATTTACTTTTATCTGTTTCCACTTTTGTTTGTGGATGAGGTTATTACAAAATTGAGAAGGCTTTTTTTTCTTTGTTTTTTGTAGTTTATCTTTCTAGTGAGAGACATTGGAGAGCTTTGTATTTTATTTTTGTGTGTATTTGTTTTGTTTGTGAAATGGGTGGTTTCAAAATGGGCAGAATTATTTTTGTAGTTTTTTATCTTGTTTTGATTTGAGTATCTTTCATTTTTATTTGTTTCTATTTTGTTTGTTGATGAGTCCATTTCAAAATGAGGAATAATGATGCATGAGGTTTATTAGTTTTTTGCTTCATAATTATTATTTGGTCGTAAGAGATATATTTTGGTGGATGTTGTGGAGGAAATCTCTCTTTCTCTCTCTCTCTCTCTCTCGGATTTTTCCACCTGTATTTGAAGGAATTTTTTTATCTCGTGCACTAAAGGAATACAGTGGGCCCTCCTACTCACAGTTGGTTTTGGAGGGGGGTTTTTCTCTTTACAATTGGATTTTAGGTGGGTTTTCCTCCTTGCTACAGTGAATTAATTTCTTTTCCATTAGTTAACCAGTTCCACAAAAAAAAAAAATTTCTTTCCATTTATCTTTAATGTGTTTCATTTTGTTATCCAAAGGATGGGCCTCTTTTGATCTAATTATCTCTCTGGCCTTTCTTGGATTTTTCTCTTTTGTTTTTGTAATTTTCTTTGAGCTGCCTTCTTCCTCTCCTTTCCTTTCCAAAAGTTCTCAAGACCATAACATTCAACTGAAGCTAACAAGAGTTATGTGCCATCTTCTTCATTTTGTGATCTGCCCTCTCTCTTTTCCTTTCTTTTATGGGCCTTTTAATCTCCTTTCTTCCTCTTTATTCCACATTGTGGTCTCTTACTCTCTCTCTCTCTCTCTATTCATGTTTTTTTCTCTCTTATTCCTTTGCAGTGGGGTGGGGGTCTTTTCATCTTGGTTTTTCAGGAAATTCAGATCCCGAACCAGGACGGTGTCGAAGAACTGATGGGAAGAAATGGCGGTGCTCGAGAGATGCGGTTGCTGACCAAAAGTATTGCGAGCGACACATGAACAGGGGCCGCCACCGTTCAAGAAAGCCTGTGGAAGGCCACACTAATGGCCATGCCTCCTCTTCTCTCCCTAAAACCATCACCACCAACTCAACAACCACCTCGACAACAATGGCGAAGTCGTTGACCTCTTCTTTAAATGTGACTGTCTCAAATGGTGGGGGTTCGAGTCTTGCGGTGGTGAATCAGATGAAGAGCTTGCCGGTTTCTGAAAGCTCCTTGCCTGCCTCGCAGTTTGATAGGTAAGAGTTACTGGTCAGTACTTGGACTCTAAAATAGTGATCAACTGTTTGGGAGGACACTCTTTCCAGGATTTTGGCTTGTGGGAGAAGTGGGTTTCCTCTTCCCAGACTTTTTGTTGAGAAAGGAGACAGGAGTTCCTCTTTCTGTGTTTCGTTGGTGTGTGTGTGTGTGTGTGTGAGAGAGAGAGAGAGAGAGAGAGAGAAGGGGGGTACTATTGCATTTGAGAGAGGCTTACTATTGGAATTTTTCCATTAGAGAGAGATTTCATCTTTCAATCTTTATAGAGGGGATTCCCTCTTTCCATTATTTTCATTACAGATGCGTTTCCAATTTGTTTGGAATGGGAAAGGGAATTTCTCTTTCCCTTATTCACACCACTGTCCCACACACGCAGAGAGAGAGAGAGAGAGATAGGTTTAACACATATTTCTACTGTTTCAAGTTATTATGTATCGTTTAGTTGTTTGAAAACCACCTCTTTCTTTTGATTGTGCATTATTGATTGAAGAATGTCATTCTCCGAGAACATTTGAGCATTCATGGCGGATTAAATAAAAAGTCCAGTCTTTTCTTGCATTTCTTGAAGTACTTCTAAAAAGTTGTATAAGCAGCATCTCATCAAAGCAATCTACAACGCCTTAGAAGATGGGTATTCTGTTTTCTCACTCCAGAGATTTCCTCACCTCATTTTGATCAATTCGTGGCTCTATCTGATGCAGGTTCATGATCAACAAAGCGAAATTTGATGAACATCAAGGCCTCTCAATGGTTTCCTCAATTGGACTTAGGCCAAAAGCCCCTTCCTTTCCACTACCAAAGCAAAACCTTCCCTCTGATTTTGGTCTAATTTCCTCCAAAAACTTGTTAAACCCATCAAGGAACTCATATTTACATAGCCGAAACTTCATTGATGGGTGGCCAAAAACATGTTCTGAACCAGAGGAGAGAACCCAACTTTCTATATCTATCCCTGTCGCCTCGTCCGACTTCTCTTCCTCTTCTTCATCACCCACTCAAGAGAGCGCGTCCCTTTCTCCCCTGAAACTCTCTAGAGATGTGGACCTTTTTCAAATGGGTTTAGGGGTTGGACCCCTTAATGAAACATGTAATCGACAAGCTAATTTGTTACCCATTTCATGGGAGACCTCCATGGGAGGACCTCTTGCTGAGGTCCTCAATTCCACAAATAACCCTAAAGACTGTAAGAGTAATTCTTCTTCGGCACTTAATCTCATGGGTGAGAGCTGGGAAATGAGCCCAAGAATGGGGTCCTCACCTACAGGAGTTCTGCAAAAGGCATTCGGCTCTCTCTCTAACAGTAGCACAGGAAGCAGCCCAAGAGCAGAGAACAAAGCCCAACATGAGAGCACCAGTCTCTGTGATGATCTATTTGTTTCGACTTTTGTAAATTCATCTTCAATCCCATCATTGTGAGTTCTTGGTTTCTCTCCTGTGTATGTCTCCCCCTCTGTGATGAGGCTAAAACTTTGGGTAATGGAAAGGAGGAAGAAAAACAGTTCAATCTGAGAGCATCTGTGGCTCCTTTCTCTTTCATCTCGTGCTATTTCATTGATTTCTTTTTCCTTTTTATAGTTTGTTGAAGAAACAGGCCTGCATTTCTAGTGGGCAATTTTGTGCTGGCTTCCAACTGATACCAGTCATTTCAGTTTGTGTTGATCCTGCGGCTTATCTATGAATTAGTTTGTGTTTTCATAGTATGCAGGTGTTTCTCTCTCTCTCTATCTCTCTCTCCTACTTTTATTTTGTCAAAGTGGAAAGGTCTATTCACTCTTGACACACAGTTCTTACCTGTTTGTCTGGTTCACTTTTTTGTGGGTGCCCTCCCTTTTGGAGAGATTGACTTTAAATTGGAATCTATCTTTACTGGATATTGGGAGGCAGTTGTGAAGTGTAAACTCATTCTCCCTTATATCTCACATCTATTGTAAGTGGGAAATGATACTATGATGTTGAACATTCAATGGCCCGCAAGCATTATGAGTATCTATATTATAAAAGTTCACAAGATGTTGCCTCAATCTTTTGGGCTACCTATACAGCTTAGTATTATTAGTCATGAATGAAGTTGGAACATGAAGACAAATTAAACACTTAGTATTATTAGTCATAAATGAAGTTGGAACATGAAGACAAATTAAACACACTCTCTCTCTGTCTCTCTCACTAAGTGCACAAATGTTAATCCTCTCACTAAGACAAAAAGTTCATATTAGGTTAAGGCCCTAAACGGTCAAATTAAAGTGTCTCAAAAACTCACAGGGGAGGATTGTTTCGATGCCCAAAAATCATCAAATTGATCATCTAAATATCAAGATGTATGGACAATATAAAAAATAGGTTTTTGAGCTTGAAGATAATATATTTTGTAATGTATTTTTTGGATCGTTAATTTTCAATTTCAAGTGGTCATAGATCTTCTTATTCTACATTATTTTTTATGTTTTAAATTTTGTAAATAAAGACTTTTTTAGCCCATCATAAATATTTTCAGTACTAAATATATTTCAATGCAAACCACTCCCCTCACTAATACGCAGTCAAGTTATAATAAAACAGCGCACTATTAACATGTGCTTGAAATTTGGTGTTATTAAATGAAATGAATTGTTGGCCTTAATGTTATTTTCTTTTTCCAAGGGTGTGTATGATAGCAACTAAATTGCATCATAATTTTCTTACATTTGGGGCTGCTCATATTTCTATAAAAATTGCAATTTGGTAACAAACACTAAATAATATCTTCTATACAGATCCAATTGAAAAGGAAGTTCTACAAGACAGGTGTAAGACTAGTCATGCTTTATGCAACTGACTGTTAGCTATGTGCAATGTTGACTTAGAACAACGGTTAGGAAGGGTGATTTGGTTCAAGTAGAATACTCTAAAAGAGAAGAGAAATGCCTAAAAAGATATGGATGATTGTTAGGATTTAAGAACCCTCTTAGATGCAGAAATAGGAATCTCAAATATTGGATCTCACCAAGATCGTGTATTTATCCAAACAAAACAGGCAAGAGCACGAGCCATAATACAATACGATAAATAAAGCATGAAACACACATGCTACACAAACACAGATTTACATGGTTCACCCTAAAGGAGCAACAACCACAGGCACGACAAACTGAAATCCATTATACCAATGAAAAGTTACATCACAGATTTTAGGGATGCATCTCTAACCCTCAACAAAAACCCTGTCGAGTAAATCCTTTTAGACCCAGTCTCCCTATCAGCACCATTGTTGACTTCTCATATCTATTCCACAGCTAGACCACTGATCAAGAAGAGACCATCTCCATTCCACAGCTAAACCACTGTCCAGAAGGAGAACTTTGAGAGCAACCGAGACTCTCTCTCTAAAACCACATCTAAACCAATATTTAGGAAGAGACGATCTCCATTCCACAGCTAAACTACTGTCCAAGAGAAGAACCTTGAGTGTAACCGAAACTTTCTCTCTCTAAAAGGGGGAAAAAGGTACATCCGTGGAGTTTTTTCCATAGGAAACTCTTGCCTTTTCGATGCTAAGGAGGCCATGCTTCTCTCTTTAGAAGAAGCCATCTTTCCGATATGGTGACCCAAATAAAACATACAAATTCTCTGTACTTTCATATTATATATATAATGTTAGGAGTCCAAACCAAATAGAAAACTTTCTATTTCTTTTTAGAAACTTATCAATATCAATCTCAATCCCATATAATATGAGATTTTCTTATGTAGTTGATTTTGGATAATCACCATATCCAACAGATGGAAGTTGTGAGAGAAGTTACAATGACTTATGATCGTATAACTCTTAATAGAACAAAATAACATAATAAGATTGGTGCAACTAACCCTAAATAATTTCCCTAAGCTTAAATGATGATAATAACCACTAAAGAAAAAAAATTATGATGATAATGGTGATGTTGATAATGAAATAAATCCAACGAATAATTCAATAGAGAAATTTTTAAAATGAGAATCCTGGTCGCTTTTTAGAAAGAGAGAGAGAGTGTGTGTGTGTCCCCCAATCTGGTTACAAAGGTCCTCTAATGGATCCACATTTCCTTTTCTCTTGGATAGGTTTGTGGTGGGTGGGATCTGCACTTGGGATTCTGTGTTCCCAACCTTAATTCCCTAACCACCAAGCCAGTGAATATTTCCAACTTTTGGCGAATTATTTGTAATATTTTTTATATCAGTGTAAAAGAATGTGTAAATGCACAAACAGGCTAAATCCCCTAATTTCTTTAGACCATTTATTTTAGCTACACCTAATCCAACATATAAGAAATTTGATGGCTGAGGTGTATAGTGTTCCTTTTGAAATTGGAGGAAATTGTCCATGGACTTTGAGCTGAGGACTGTGACAGTCAATTGTCTGATTTCGAATCAAATGGCTCAGAATATTCATATTTTTTGTATTGAAAATAAATGGTCTTATCGTATGCCTTGTGTTCTTCATAACAGACCATGGTTTGAAAGAAAATAGAAAATAATATGGCCTGAATGGTAAGTTTTTATTCTCTCCATTGCCGTCCATTCATTGACTGGATGATGATAATGCTTATGACCATATATTTCTATAGTCATGTAGATCACACTTTACTCTCTAAAAGGAAAAATAAATATATATTGTTCTCTCCATTTTCAATGGACACTTACCGTTAATACTGACTTTTTCAAGGCTGATATGGCCTTTTCATGTTGAGTGATACTCTTTGATAAAATGTCCAATATATATCCATCCCTCCCATGTTATAATAACCTCGTATGCATTAAGAGAACGCAATTCATGTAACGATGTGCTAATACAAGTGGGTTTAGGGGTGGCAATGGACCCAGACCCCACCCGAGACCCAAGGGGTAGTCTTGATCTGGGTTCGGGCATGGATCAAAAAATTGGACCCAGCAGGTCTGGTCCAGGTCCGGATCTGATTATATTTTTTTGGTCCCAATATATAAAATATATTTAAATATAGATAAGAGCAATGATTTCATGCAATCGTCGTATACTAATATGATGCAGCAACCTTAAAAAACCATTTTATGGCCATTTGTTTGATCCAAAATTTGAAATATACACTCTTTTCATTCTAATGAACAATCACAAAAAAAGAAAAACTTGAAAACACAACTTAGAAAATATTTTTTTAGCCCAATTAACATAGGCCATTCATTTTGGTAAGATGCGTAGATCTAGGCCTTAGAAGAATTTTTTTCATTTCCAGTTTTTTTGGATGGCTTTATTATCATTAGATGAACAATGTTAAAAAATAAAAAAATGATTTTGAATTTATAGAGGCTAAGATCTTGAAATTCACAAAGTGAACGGTCTAGATTTGTTTTTGGAGAAGACTCATTTTGACCATATCTAGGGTTCAATTTGAACTTTTTTTTGTTTGAGAATTGATTATTAAGATGAAGAGAGAGTGTATGCAAAATTTGGAGTCATACAAATATCACAAACATGATTTTCTAGAAGTGTCATTACATTATATTATGATACAACCGTTGTATTGGATCATTGCTCTATAGATAAATTTATAGATATTTTAATTTTTGGGTTGGGTCTGATCCAGTTGGACCCAGACCCAACCCGACCCGACCCGCTATCACCCCTAAGTGGGTTATGATTGGTTCATGACGAGTTCTTTTAAGTTATGTGAAGTGACTTTTAAGAAGAAAAATGTCAAAATTGGCGACGGTGAATGTCATCAATAACCATGCATATTCTGGTAAAGAGTCATCTAAAAGCATGTAGAATTAGTCAATTAAAAGCATGCAGAATGATCCCCTATAAAAACGTAAAAAATTGTCTCTAATAATCTTGGGGATAATAGGAATATTACGGATACCGATACTATTATTATCATCATCCGGGCTTTATTCAAATTATTTGGAGTCGGCTGCAGATATAGATATTATGGTAGTCAAAATTGCCTCTTGTGTTTGTTTTCAAACTTTAGTGTTATTATGGTCTTTGGAGGGGAAGAAAGAGATTTTTAGGGAACAAGTAAGATCCCTAATGATTTTTATACATGGGGATCAAAGATATAAAGTACTCTTACTTTTAGGGGGCCACTCCTTTGGTGGGGAGGGATCTCCATAGGAGAGTCTTTAGTTTTTCTATGGTATTTTGAGTTGAGGCTTACTTTCCACTCCTAGTAGAGAAGTCTCTCTGCTGCTTTCAATGTTATCTTTTTAGTTGTGGTGCTGTAATGGGAAATATGGAAGTTGATCGGCAGTATCCAATCATGAGAGCGGTTAAGAAGGTAAAACCAGATAGGATTTTATCAGTGTGTAGAGAGAGGCATATCTCTTGCCGCCTCCCAAACATATTTAGAAGGGAAATTATCAATGTTTAGATATAGGTATATTTTTTTGTAACACAAAAGTGTAGTCTTTATTGATAGTAGATTTGGGCATGCCAACGCCAAAAATTAGCTTTTTGAGATGAACCACATAAATCTTTATATTATTGTGATGTTTTTATTAACATTTTATTTTCTTGCACTCATTATATGGATATATTTGTCTATTTACATTTGACAACTATGCATAGTATCTAAGCAATATGTGGCAATTGACGAGGGTTTTATCTTTTGTAAGCCCTTGGCGAGTATAGAAGGAAAAATCAGCGAGTGTTTTGTTGATATTTAGATAGGTTTTTTTTTTTTTTGGTAACACCAACATGTAATATGTGTAACTGGTGAACCACATAAGTCTTTCTGTTATTGTGGTGTACTATTCTTATTGTTTTATTTTCTTACACTTGATTTCTGTTTATATTTGTCTATTTCTTTAGCAACTATGTCCACGATCTAGGGTAGGATCAGAATAATTAGGGCACCTGGTTATGTAAGCTAGGACTCCTGGGGATCATACACTTGATGCTTGAGCACAAGGTTTGTACTGGGCTAATGTTTATATTTTGAATGGATAAAAATGCATGACAAAGTTAAGGTGGTTACATTGTCTAAGGTGGAGCAATGTGGATGCAAATTGTTTGCAAATTCCACAATGATTTTATTCAACAAGAGAGAAGAAATAAAAAAAATCTATAGATGTCAACATGGGAAATCTGGTAATTTGATATCAAGGTGATGATTACTAAGTTTAGCGATAGTCAAAATCACCACTCCTATATTTTCCTAAATATTGAGGATATGATATTTGAACAAATAAGTTTCTCTAAATATTAAAGGTATTATTATCTTTGGGCAAAAAGCACATGAGGTTTCTCAGAAAACAAGTTGTAAACCCTAATTATTTCTATATAAGAGGATCAAATAAATATAGTACTCTTTTTATAGGCAACCATTGGGGTTATGCAAAAGGGCCTCAAAGAGAGAGGAGTCTCCAAAAAAAAAAAGTTTGACCTCCTAAATAAATGTGGTCTTCTCATAAGATTTTGGATTAATTCCCTTCCCATTTCAAGAGAGGATCTTTCAGTTACTCTCAATGTTATCTTTTTGATAGTGGTATCATTTCATTTAGTCTCAATGTTATCTTTTTGATAGTGGTATCATTTACTCTCAATGTTATCGTTTTGGTAGTCGTATCATGGTAGGAAAGATGAATGCTAATAGCATTGTTTTCGGTCAAGAGTATATTTAGATGGAAAAACTGACAAGGGTTTTGTCAATGTTTAGAAATAGGTATATTTGTTGTAATCCAAAACTGCCTTCATCGAATTGCATTCATGGTTGTAGTAGTCTATTACATATTTAGCTAACTATTTACATAATCTGTAATAGTTAGCTAAGTATTTACATAATCTTGGGTAAGCTCTCGGCATTTGTTGTTTGCTAAGGGACGGGTTTCCAAGGACCTAGAAGAGTAAACATGCTGAACAGAGTTTGATACGAAAAATAGATCACCCTCCTCTAGGATTGGAAGTCAAAAACTCGAAGACCTACAAGAATAAACATGCTGAAGATGGTTTGATGCAAGAAATAGATCAGTCTCATAGAGAATGGAAGTTAAAAAGCTTAATATGTTTGTTTAAACGCTATATAAATTGCTGAAATGTATAGAAGTATAACACATTTAAACAATAGAATCATCTTCAGTTCTTAATCATGTATAATAAAGATACTTCGACGGCTTGACCTGCTTTCATGGAGTGTTGTTCATGCGGGTCGATGTCTTGGGTTCGTAGCCCTGATTGACTGATGCCGTGGATGGCCCCCTCTCCTCTCAAATAATAAAGATACTTTAAACTAGTTAAATTTTTTATACTTTAAACGATTTTAAATCGCTTAAATTTTTTGGCTATTTGTATGCATTGCTTACACATTTTGTGGATATATGATTCAGCTCTTTTAACACACTCAAATATTTCATGAATATTAAGCTGTTAATGGGTTAAAAGAATTTCGTTTGATCTGTAGTCAAGAAATCATGAAATTCAAAGAAATCAAATTTAAAGAAAAAGAAACCAAAGGTCTGACATGGACTTTTGGTTTGGAAATGGGTTGGTGAGCTTAATGTGGAGTTACTTGTCTGACACACTCTTGGCTTTCTCTCTTTTACATCTATTATTGCCCTGTCCAATATGCATGGGATGCGTCAAGCTAACATTTTATTTGAGGATTCAGACTCAATTAAATGTTTGACACCACCTTAAATATGAAGCTTGTACGCTACTGAGAAGGCCTCTTTACTCCAAGGCCAATGATTTACTTGGATGAAAATGGAAACGTGGATTATTAGAACCTGATATGATCTGACACATTTATTCTAGAGAGAGAGAGAGAGAGAGAGATGGTAATAAATAGAAAAATATGTACAATCATCATTTTCATAATATCAGATGAAAAATATATCATTCAAGTTTTTAAGGGGCATTTGTTTGCAATGTAAATTGGGAACACTTACATAATTATTTGAATTACTAACATATTACAATAACTTTCATGCATGCTTATATGGTTTATGGAGCTAAGGCTCTTCAAAACCTGTCCATTCAACAAAGAAAATGCCAATGCCTTCCAAACAAAATTCTCCCTCTTTTGCGCAAATTATCACTGGCAAATCATAACATGACCATTTGAGGTGAGGGCGTTTGAATATTTATGATTTTGTTGTATACTTCGATTGGTCAAAAACTCAATCATGAGACATATTAACTCTTTTGGCTTGGGAAATTAATGCACCTCTTCAACAGGGTTTGCTGCCACATTGATTTCTCATTCATTGCAGGACAGGAATTTCATGGTTAGTAAATGAAAGAAAGATTCACAGGGAAATGGGTAGGAAAGTTTAGATTGAGAATATTTGTAACATTACAAAAAGGGAGAAAAACTTCAAGATGAATGTGGTTATTCTTACAACTTCAAATGCAAGGCATGAGCGATAAGGGTTTCCAAATGTAATGGATAGGCACATGAGCTTTTGCAATTATTGAAGAGAAGCATCAATATCAGATGTTGATAGCATAAGAATCCGTGAGACAGAAAATGAATGAAGAACGTAGTTCTGCTACAACACAAATTAACGGTTCAAGTGGCAAACCACTGAACATAGTTTGATATTGATCATTGCTGGACAGTTGTTCATTACATTCGATCTTTAGAACCTCAATAGCTGAAAGATAAAACATGGATCACAATGTTCTGATTGCAATGAACTCCAATTAGCTGGCAATTTGATGAACACAAACTGACTAAACTATACATACAACATTGGTTTGATTATTTCTTATTATGAAGTATAGCGGACAGTCTCCAAGCAGTCTGATTTCCTCAATCAACAGCATGCTATAAAAGCTACTACTTTCTTCTTTCTTTAACTCACTACACAGGTGGTTTATCATCTTTCTTAAATCTGATTTCTGTAGATTACACCAGAAATACCATTTCCTGTGAACAAAGTTATTTTAGGGCCTAAAGCAACGTAGAACCACTCCAAAGCCTAAACATCACAAACACAAGAAAACATACTTGAGGTTACTTCCTGTTTTCCAAGCTACAAGAATTCAGAGTTATGGATGGTCAAAAGAATGTACAAAGAAAAAAAGCAATTTCAGTGTTTCAGTGTATTCTAGGTATCATTACAATAGAATCACCTCTCACAAAGACTTGGAAAAGCAAAATCCATATGAAATATGCACTATTCTATACAAAATTGAAAAACTTCACAAAGAAAATCAATTATCAGTAAGGAAGTGTGAGCTCCTAAGTCCCTATCCAAGATGTCTTTGGCCATACTCCAGCTTAGGAAAGAGGCGGAGCTCTTATTGGGGTTTCTTGGTTTGTGCTTGTAGCGCTCTCCAAATGGCTAGCCGTATTTTCAACCCCAACCACTTTGCAAATAGCTGCGCCACCCTATGTACCATGGATTCTTTTACTTGGTCGCTGTACTGGTGTCGACATGTAGTTGATACACATACCAATATGGTGCAGAGGATAAAAACCAAGGTTTGGAAACCAAAAAAGAGGCACTGGTCTCAGGTTCTAGACAAGGTAGAGAGACATCTAGCGGTTTGGAAAGGTAGATATCTCTCTTTGGCAGGAAGAGTTACCTTGATCAATGCCACCCTGGCAAATACCCCTGTCTACTTCATGTCCCTTTACCAGATGCCTGCACAGGTGGCTAAAAGCATAGAACAACTTATGCGGAATTTCTTGTGGTCTGGACAGCCAAAAGGACCAAATTCCACCTAGTAGCATGGGAAAATATCTGCCTACCAAGAAAGCATGGGAGTCTAGGGATTCGGGTCCTTAGGAAACAAAATACAGCACTCCTTGGCATATGGTGGTGGCGCCTAGCCTCTCAGCCAGATTCTCTTTGGGCTCAGGTTTTACGATGTAAAAACAGGATCCCGGATGAAACCTGAGTGCCAGAAAGGATCCAGAGGCATAGAGTATCAAGAGCTTGGAAATCCTTTGCCTCCTCCCTTTCACAGTTCAAAAGATTCATAAGATTCCTTCCTAGAGAAGGCTATAGGGTGAGTTTCTGGACAGATTTATGGCTAGGAAACTCTCCACTGTGTCATGCCTTCCCAACCCTATGTTCTCTTGCCTCTAACAAAAACTCCACTATCGTCGATGAAATGCTGCTTTCAAGTGGCCGAAGAGTCTGGAACCCATCATTTCGAAGAAACCACTCAGACGAGGAATCCAATCAATTCCAACTACTCTCGAATGCTCTTTCCTCACTATTTATCCCAACTCATGGGAAAGACAGCATAGTTTGGACTCTTTCCCCCTCAAGTTTCTTTACGGTAGCCTCTTTTTATAAAAGTATCACCCAGCCCCCTACTTACCCTCTCAATCCCACCTCAGTTCTGGCAAAAGTATGGTCAACCATTGCCCCACCTAAGATTCAAACCTTCAATTGGATTGCATGTTCCCAAAGAGCACTCACAGTGGACCAACTACAAAAACGAGGGATCTCAATCCCTATTAGATGTGCCCTGTGCCTATGCGAGGAGGAATCCAACCCACACATCTTTATTTCTTGCGATTTTACCCATAAGTTGTGGAGGCATGTGTTGCAACTCTTCGGTATTCATTGGGTCACACCCCCTACAGTCAGGGCCCTGATATCTTCGAATTGGAGTCACACTGGCTACTGTCTACTGGCTCGAAGAACTTTATGGAAGGCTATTGTGGCTGCTACCATAGGGACAATATGGGTAGAAAGGAATAACAGAATTTTCAATGGACTTAAACTCCACCTACCAGCTCTTTTCCACAAGGTAACTTCACTGGCCTCCTTTTGGACCGCTAATCACAAGATCTTCTCGGGTTTATCAAGGAACTTTTTCCTTTGCCAATGGAACTCCCAATACGCAAAAGCTATGGCTCTCCTATTGGGTCTCAAAAAATTCAATCCATCATGGGGCACACACTTGATTGTGGAAGGAGACTCACAAAACACTATTTCACAGGCAAGTGGGATGACCTCTCTTCCATGGCAACTAATTACAATTTTTGATGAAATTACTCACATTTGCAGTGATATGTACGTCTCCTGGAAGCATACATGGAGGACGTCCAACGAACTTGTAGATCTCATGGCGAAAGAGGGAGCTAGATTCCAATTGGAAGAGCAGCCCAGGTCCTACTCCTTTTTTGTTCAGGACTACAGCCGTACTACGTAGCCTCTCCCTTTTTGTTCAGGACCACAACCATTCTACGTAGCCTCCCTCGACGGAGCACTCCACAGTCTCAATGTTACTTTTTTGAAAAACCATGGTAAATCATTGTATCTGGGCGGGACTTATAAGCCTTTTATGTACATGACTGACTAATGTATTTTTTACTGAAAGCCACCCATAGCAAGTGCCTTCAGTCTCTCACAATTCTGTAACTATTACTGTCTTAGTAATACAACGTTAACATTTCTCAAAAAATCTTTCATCATAAATTTCGTAGCCAACTGAGCTTTAAGTGTTGCAATATTTCCTTTGTTTGGTCCTGCAACAATTATGTCATCGACATATAATAACAAGATAATAAAGCTTTCATCACCATATCCATGAAAATAGGCACAATGGTCAGCTTCATATCTTCTATCACCATATCCATGAAAATAGGAACAATGGTCAGCTTCACATCAACGAAAATTCAAGCTCAACATACAAGAGTCAAATCGTTTGTACCAATATCTTGGCACCTGTTTCAACCCATACAATGATTTCTTGGGCCTACAAACCAAATTCACTTTACCTTCCTAAAAGATACCCTCTGATCATATAAAATTTGTTTTTATATCACCATGCAAAGATGCAATTTTCACATCTAATTGTTCTAACTCTAAATCAAGAATAGCAGCCATAGCCAAAACAACTCTAATAGTGGACATGCACACAACAGGAGAAAAAATCTCATCTAAATAAAAACCTGATTTCTGAGCATAACCTTTCACAACCAATTGAGCATTGTACCTTTCAACAATATCATCAGGACCCCTGTCTTCTTCTTGAAGACCCACATGCAACCAATTACCTTTCGCTTCTCTGGTCATTCGACGAGGTCCAATGTTTTATTTTTTGCATGACCTCCATCTCTTCTTCCATGGATGCTCTCTATTGACCGGCTTCATCGACCTCACATGCCTCATGAAAAGAATCTGGCCCACCCTCCTTTGTTAGGCAAACATATGACAAGACATATAGACGTTAAGCCTCACAATAACCTTTTTAGGCCTATTAGATCTTCTTAATTCAGAATCACCTAAATATTGTTCAAGCTCTTGGATAATTTCAAGTTATTGGTCCTGACCACTATCTCACTAGTTCTCATGGCTGCATTCCCACCTCAACAACTTTTGCATCTTGCTCATCTTTTTATTTCTGTATGGAATTTTCATTGAAAACAACATCTCGGCTAACTATAACCTTGTGGTCAGTAGGATCCCACAATATGTACCCCTTTGTACCATCAACATAGCCAAGAAAAACACACTTCTTGGATTTTTCATCCAACTCGGTTCTTTTCTCCTTTGGAATCAAAGAATATGCATCACAACAAAAAATATGTAGGAAAGAATAATCAACTGGTTTACCTATCCAACCGTCTTTTAGTGACTTGTAGTCAATAGCAAAACCAAGAGACCTATTGAGTAGGAAACAAGTTGAACGAACTTCCTATGCCTAGAAACACTGCTCTAATGTAGCAGCACTCAACACACACCTGACACGCTCCATAATGGTACGATTCATCCTCTCAACAACACTATTTTGCTGAGGTGTTCCAGGAACTATCAACTGCCTAGCAACATCATGCTTACTACAAAAATTATTAAATTTACCAAAACAAAATTCTCCCTCATTATCAATTCTTAGACATTTGATGCTCTTAAGTCTTAACCTTTTTTATTTTCAACCAAGGCCTTAAATTTTTGGAAACAATTGAATTTTTTGAAACAATTGAAGGCATTTGATTTCTTTTTCAACATATAAACTCACTTTTCTTGAAAAATGATCAATAAAAGTGACAAAATATGCAGCACCCCCCATAGAAACAACATGTGATTCCCATGTGTCTAAATGAATCAATTCTAAAAAATCCTTACTTTTAGTGGTGGATAAAGCAAAACGTAATTTGTTTTGTTTTCCAAATAAGCATGACTCACAAAAATCTAAATTAAAAGATTTTAAACCAGAGAGGAGGTTTTTATTGAGAAGTATCTTGAGTCCACGCTCGCTCGTGACTCAAACGTGCATGCCATGTCATGACAGAGTCCACCTCTGTACTATCGGCCTCTCCCAAAACTGTTTCTCCAACAAGTCTATACAAATTGCCTACTAACTCTCCTTTTGCAACCACTAATGCTCCTTTTGAAATATTCAAACATCTATTGTCCCCAATAAATTTAAAGCATTGCTCATTAAAATTTTCTAAGGACAAGAGACTCCTCCTGAGATCTAGAACATGTCTAACACCCGGGATGGTGCATATGCCTCCATTGAACATCTTGATTCAGACATCTTCAACTCCCACTATTTTACATGAGTCATTATTTTCTATGTAAACAATACCTCCATCACATGGTTGGTACCTATAGAACTAATCCCTATGTAGAGTCATGTGAAAGGATGCACTTGAATCAAGTAACCAATACTACAAAACTTCCTCCCTATCCACAAACTTAATTTCCTCTACTAGATTTCCCTGAGATCAACTTGAACTAGGCTTCTCATTAAAACCAGATTTAGAGGCTTCCTGGTTCCCCTTTTGTACCTTACAATCTTTTCTCACATGGCCTAACTTTTCACAACTCCAACACTTCACTTTCTTATATCTTCTTGATTTAGATCTTCACTGACCTCTACCATAGCTCTCTCCATTGATCTTCCCCGTGCTACAAACACATTCCCAAGGGAATCCTTACCAGACTTTTGCCTAGACTCTTCGCCAGAAGTGCTGAAACAACATAATCAAATTCAAGAGATTTTTCACTAC